TAGGTAGATGACCACTATAGGATTATAATAGTAAATACATGACCGATCTAGGGGTGGGACTTTACCTTTACTTTACTAGTAACTAAGTAACTATGTAGTTACTTAGTTACTAGTAACTAAGTAAATATGTAGTTACTTAGTTACTAGTAACTAGTAACTAAATATTTACTTAGTTACTAGTAACTACATATTTACTTAGTTACTAGTAACTAAGTAACTACATAGTTACTTAGTTACTAGTAACTAAGTAACTACATAGTTACTTAGTTACTAGTAACTAAGTAACTACTTAAACACTGACTCCTAATGAAAAGATGAATATGATACTTGTTTATTTAATTTATTTTCGCTTTCGCCTACCCCATGGTGTCAAAATAATCATCAACAAAGTAACTCGCGTGGACCAACATCAATGTAATTCAACGGACGTAATAATAAAATGAGTTTAATTCGATTGTGAATTTTTTGGACATATTCAGAATGAACATTTTTATTGATTATTTCAATTGAGTTATTTTAAACGTGGTATGTAGAGATGTAACAGTGACGATAACCTTACTCAGAGTTACCGATCTGATTACAATAAAATTTAGTATGGTTATTGGTTTAAATTGGTTTTCACGAAAAACAGCATTTCCTAAGAAAATAACGCTTTGTTGTAAAGGTTGACTAGAGTAAATTAGGATCAAGGAATTCGAATCTGAAGTCAGCCTTTGACATTTTTGAACATAAGTTTTTTTACGTTAAGGAAATGATTTTATAAGGAAAAAAGTATCTGTTATAAAGGTTGACGAAAGGAAATCGGGGTCGAGGAATTGGAATCTGATATCAGCTTCTTGAAAATTTGAGTTCTTCTTTTTTCCACATGAATTTTTTTAGAAGAAAAACTAGTTATTATGAAAAAAACAATGAAAAAGTTTTTCGTGGAAAAAAGTGTCTTAGGAAAACCATCACTTACAGAAAAACATCTTATCGAGGAAAATTTAAATGCGATCGGTGTTTCAATATTTCAGTATCTGATGAAGGAAGCGTTCGTTTGAGCTGAGATTTTGTATGATATTCCTAATAGACAGAAAAGCTGTCTATGGGTAAAGAAAGTTTCAGATTAAATTTCCATTATTCGATTGCTGCATATATGCGTTCTCACAGGAGAAAATCCATCAAAACAGCCAGAACTCAAGAAGTACAAAACATTGAGACGACCCATTCTAGAATTTTCAGTGTCACATCGACCTCTTCAATCTGATGTATATCCGATTTAAAATGGTGCTTGACTTTTGGGATCTCTCCTCGTTAGTTATAGTTGTCAACAGCTTAATAGTACAATTTAAATACTTTATTTGACTACTTCACATATTCACACTCGATGATTTTAAAAACCACGCTTCGGTGGGTTGCAGAGATCGTGATGCACCTATTGAGTTTAAATGTAAAAATAGCAAAAACATTTAGCATTGAAAAATATCAGAATAATCTTTTTTTCTCTTGATATTTTCAATCAAAAGTATATATGAATCATGAGATACATTTACTTCCACCAAAAGTATACTATATTCTGAGCAGTTTAGTATAATAATTTGCAAAATCATGATTGTTTTCTTCATAGCACAATTAATCAAAGTTCCCTGTTCAAAACTTAATTTCAATTGTGTAATAGGCCAATGACACTGTATTTTTACCTGTCTTGAAAAGATTATAGAAACTATATTACAATCTAGAGATTAACGAGAACAATTAAAGAAAAATCCAAAGCGTCATTTTTCTCTGGAAATATTTGAAAAAGTTATTTTTGTGAAGAACACTGTAATTAAAATCGTTCATAACCATAGATTTATGATTATAATATAATCTCCTTGATTTATATTTTTTTGTAAGGCGCGGATATTAGGTCCATCATTTCATCTTAAATCTTGTGTTGATAAATGTAATCAAAATTGAAGAATTAGCTGTACCACCACCTTCACCAGTCAGAGCTAGTTAACTACTTTACGTCTCAAGTTGTCTGTATGTTACATTAAACTAATACTTACATAAGAGAGAAAAAAAATGAGTCAGGCGAGTAAAGAAGGTAATAAAAAAGATGGAAAGTAAAACCAAAAGAACGAGAAGAAAAAGCAGTGATTAGCATAAGCATTGATCTGGAAATTATTCCAATGAGGATTTATCGGATCTATTTTTAACTTTATTGCCTTTATTCAAATCATAGGACTTCTAATTTGTTAGTGTAATGTATAAGTTTCTCCAACCCAGCCTGAATGAGAACATATCGTGAAGAATTAGCTTTCATCTTATGCCCATCATAAATTAGACCTTTTCCAATTTATCGTATAATTTTTAAGGATTTATTGAGAATAAATGTATATTCTATAAGTCATATAAAACTAATCTTTTATTGTCACGGAAGAGAGACAACAGACTTCAAGTCATGGATGAAGAGAATAAAGTTGGGATAAGTTTACAGCTTCAAAATATGATTGTTTTTTCAACAGGTTTATCAATGTTCTAAAAACAGTGATGCAAATTTACGTAAACATTTAGCAAGTTCAGTCCATCAAGTTCCAAATGTCTTATATGCATCACAAACAAATGATGGTTCAAATGTTCAAGTTCCAATTCCAGGTATATCACCTGAACGAAAACTTGAATTACACACTGCTGCAGTTGATTGTATATTACGTGATGGTCTTGCATTTGGAGTATTTCGTCAACCTGGTATGCGTCGATTTCTTCAAAAAGCTGTTCCTGGATATGCTGGTCCGAACCGTAAAACGGTTCGACAAAAAATAGCAAAAATATATTCATCATACACCACCAAACTTCGTTCTGTTCTATCTAAAGTTGATTTTATTGCACTTACATGTGATTTGTGGCGAAGTTCCAAACGGGTACATTATATTAGTCTTACCGGTCATGTTTTTAATACTAAATATGAAACTGTTCCAATTGTACTTGGTTGTCGTCGTATTATCGGTCGTCATTTATCAACAACTATTGAACGTTATATTGAATTCGAATTAAAACGACTTAATATTAAACAAGAACAACTTGTTAGCATTACCACTGATAATGGTTCTGAAATGAAAAAAGCAACATCAACACTTAAATTTGGTAATCGTATTTCTTGCATGGCGCACAACCTCAACCTGGTGGTAAAGCACGGTCTCTGTCTTTGGAAAGAGCCAAATCCCGATGAGTAAGTATAAATTAACAACTTTGTACTTACCAGAAAACCACATCAAGTGATACCTTCCATTTTAATCCATTTGTGTTTCATCCAATCGAATATATTGAGATAAAAAAAGAAATGAGCATCCATAATTTTTGAAGAAAGAGATGTGTGGAATTGTTCTATTAGATTGTTTCTTATCTTCACAAACTCGATCAAATGAGGTATGGATGAATAAAAATGGAACCAATTAGTTTGTGTAGTTTCTATTAGGAAAAATTTGTCTAAAAACTTTTTTTATATCATTTGGATGAACATACCCTGAAATTAGTTTATATTTATTAATACTAAAATTAAGAAGTATTTTCATCGTGTTCTGGTAGAAAATGCTTTGTTGATCCTTGTCAACTTTATTCTTTTACTTTATGTTGTGTTGCTAATAAAGAGAAGTTTACCCTGTTTTTAGACGCAATCATTGGTATTGTAACATCGCTTCTTCATTGAAATTATTTTCTTCTGCCATTCTTCTGATTTATTAGTGGTTTAGGGCAATATCTTTTTTTTCCTCAACTTTGATAATTGAAGATAATGTGATATAGTTCAATCATGTAGAGTCTGTAAGCAATAAATTAAGGCATAAGCTATATTGGTGTTCTGTTTTAAAAAATAAAATATAAGAAAAAAGAAATTTGACATACATAGTTTTAACTAAATAATTTGATCATCCGTATTTAACACATTACTGATTTGATGGATTTAGAATGAAAACAAAAGACTTGGTATTTTGTGTCTTTATCAATCATCAAATGTAAAGCCTATTTACATTCTGAATATATTACCCCTTTCAGGACGGAATTTTTTTATCAAAAATTGGTTCTTTTTATCAATTTATTGAATTTGACTCAAAGTTTTTCCATACAAAGGGTGTAGGGGTGGGGGTGGATGTAGGTGTGGGTGCGGGTGTGGGGATGGGGGTGCGTGTCGGTTTGCGTGTGGGTAGTGTGGGTGACTGTTTCTTGTTTTCACATCCACACGAATACCCACCCCCACCCCCACCCTCATTGTACAATCATAGAAAGAAAAACAAATGTCTG